TGATTGGTTTCAATTTCGTGAGATTCTTGAAATTTGTTATCTCTATATATGAGTTAAAAATTAAAAATTAAAAATAAAAAGTTGGGTATTTTTTTAACGAAGGTTAAGATGCACTATTCTTTTATGTGGTTAATGATGTCGAATAATTTTCAACCTTCATATTAATTTCACTCTTAATATTTTTTGATTTGTCCATTAATCTAAATATTGACTAACTTGTAAATAGTGTCAAATTAAACTTTAAAATGTATTCTAAATATAATCTAATTATTTAAATTCGGTTCAATTAACTTGACGAGTAAAATAGATGTAGATCGGATTAATCCAATAAAAAATAAAAATAAAAAATTAATAATTAAACACTTAAAACAATGAATTTGTATTGGTATACTTAAAAATATAATTTAACTAAAATATTATTAAATATTAATTATTATATCATCAGCTTAATACGATGAATAAAATTTTAATAATTAATGAACAAACATATTAAAAAAAATTAATTTTGTAAATATGATAAAATTAGATAATTAAAATTATAAAAATAAAAATAGAAAGACCTACGAATTTAATTTTTATTAAAAAATTATGATTTAACCTTGTATTAATTTTTCATGGCAAAGTGATTTCTCCTGCGACGTCTGCTCCACTGTGCATGACATTACGTTTAATATTACTCTCCTTTTGGTTTGTGCACTCTATCTTTCATTTATCTCTAATATCTAATATTATTTTTCATTAATAATTATTATATTTAAGAAGAAAACAAAATTAATTTTCTAAAATTAGAAAAAAAAAGTAATTTAAAAATTAAGGACTATTAACGCGCAACAAATATTTTATTTCGTAAATTTTAAGCCAACATCTATATTTAATAACTTAATTTTGTGTAAAAAAAACTTTCAAATAAACCATAACTTATGAGTATGAAAACTCTAAAAATTAAAATTACTTAAGAGTTACTTTCACCGTTTCACAATGAGTTTAAGTTTTTATATATAACTTAAAAAATAATAATAAATGTATCTTTGTATATATATATATATATACATATATATATATATATATATATATATACATATATATATATATATATATATATATATATATATATATATATGT